AATGCAAAGAGTATGAGTGCTCCAATGAAGGTTTTCATTGATGTGATCGTGGTGGTGGAGGTGCTGGTGATGGTTTTAACTAACCCAAGACATTGATTATGCTTCAAAAACAATAGGAAGAATACAGTTGAGAGTCATTAAATACACAATAAAAATGGTAAAATAAATAGTTTTCTGAGAAGATGGGGAAATGAGATCCATAACATTAGTAGTAGAACTACCTTGAAATGAAAAAAAGCACTTCTTTATTGTACCAGGAGAGAAGGAAACTAGGATGAGCACATACAATTAGGGATGTGCAATCCTGTATCCTTTTGTCTGAAATAGAGAACAAAATCCTCTTCAAGTAAATAATGAGGCTATAGAAAAAGCATTTGGAGAGGTATGAAGCACCTTCTAAAGATGGAAGGAAAATGAGTTCACTAGGTAGATATATTTGGATTTTTGATCAGTGTTGAGCATCCATTTGACTGTGGAATGAAAGTGTAGTGAAAACAGTTGTGCTATGGCTTTCTCCAGTAGTGTCTGGTTGGTTGGGTCTGAGAACCCACAGTTGGATTCTCTTTAAACAAGAACCAACCCCACCCCCCCACCCCCACCCACTCCAAAAAAGGCAAGAGATTTGGGATATTAATCATTCAAGAACATTCTTGAAATGATGGAAAATATGGAACTTTATCTACACAATGAGGGAAGAAAAGAAAAGAAAAGAAGAAAGCTTATCGGTTGGGAAAAAGTAAAGAGATCAACTCATTAAAAGACTCAGTAAGGTCAGAGAACAGTTGAGATGGGACTAGTTGCACACGCAAACTGGAAAAATGTGTGTTTGTAGGTTTGAATTAGTCATTTTGTCAGTGAAGCAATTGTGCATGGTAATTGGTCCAAGATGTGATTGTGAGAGTATGTGGCTGAAATGCAGTGGAGACAGTTAATGGAGATGACAGTAGAAAGAACTTAGAGGTCAGGTGATGGATAGGTCACTGAAATCACCCATGATTATGTCCGAATTTAGGCTGGATAAGAGGATTGCAATCCAAATATCAACATTTTCAAAGAATGGATGAAAACTGGGAAATTAGAGCAGGGGTCAGTAAACTTTCTCTGAAGGTCCAGATAGTAAACGTTTTAGGCTCTGTGGTTTATACAGTCTCTGTAACAACTACTCAACTCTGTCTTTATAGTATGACAGCACCTCTAAACAATATGTGTTACAGTAAAACTTTATTTAAAAAATCAGGCAGCAAGCCAAATTTGACACACAGATCATACTTTTAAATGCATTGGGTGTAAGGGGGATTGTTTAGTTTTTCTCAAAGTGTGTTACATATAGCTGGAAGTACTACCTGAAATGATTTTAAGTGGGTAATGAAAAAACTTAAAAACTCTTAATTGTGGAAAATTTCAAACATATGTAAAATTATATATAACAGTATCATGAGATCTCAAGTACTAACCATACAACTTCAATAATTATCAACTCATAGACCATCTTATTTCATGAAAACTCTTATCAACTGCTCCCTCACAGATTGCTTTGAAGAAAATCTAAGATATCCGATTCATTTCAGAATAAGTCTTTAAAAGATAAGGATGTTTTCTTATCTTTTAAAGAACAAGTCTTTAAAAGATAAGGAGAAAAATAGTCATAATACCACTACTACTACCAGAATTTAAAAAAAGAAAACCTTGTTAAGTCCTTAATGTTATCAAATATCCAGTTGGCCTCATAATTTTTATTTTTACATTTTGTTTAAATTAAGAGCCAAATAAGGCCAAAGTATTGTGATTATTTAATAAACTTCTTTAATCTGAAGACGATTTTACATTTCCTTTTTTTTTTCTAATGTGTTTGTTGAGTAAATCTGATTATCTGCACCCTGATTATCCCTAGGTATTTACTTGTTCCTCTTTCAGCTTTTTGTTAGATTCAGAGATTTGATAACATTAAGGTTTTTGTTTTTATAGTGTTTTCTGGCAAGAGTACATCATAGATGATATTGTATAATTTCATCAGAGGCACATAATGTTTGGCTGTATAATATAAACAGCCACTGAAGAATATTGCCTGGATCTATTAATTCATTATGGATTCCCAAATAGATGTTCTAGTTCTATCATTCCTGCATTTACTAGCTGAAATATTTCTATAAAGAGTAAGTTCCTTTCATCCACCAATTATTTATCTGATGTACAGCTTGAATTGAAAAGCAAAATAGATACTTACATGATTCTTTCCCTCTATTTACCAATTGTAAAAATAAATGGGCTCACTAGCACTCTTAAATGACAGTATTTTGTGCTAAATGTCATGAATTCACATGAATTTAAACACATTAATGAGTTTTGATTCACTATAGTTATTATCTTTGTTATGCTGAAAATGTCCCACATATAAAAGCTTTAACCCTTTGTGATAAAAGTTACAAATATTTTCTCAGTTTGTCATCTATCCTTACTTTCTTAAGATAAAGTTTTTGGTGCAAAATAAAATGTACTTTTATGAAATAAAATCTATCACTCTTTTTTCTTGTTAGGCTTGTGATGAATCATAGAAAAAGTTTCCCCTTTTCCAAATTACATAGAAGTTCAGTCATGTTATTTCTAACACTTGCAATGTTTTTTTAATTAACATTTAAATTTGTAATATTAGGTTTCAAGTATAAAGAAAAGTACCTAGTTTTATATACATCTCTAATGTTTTTTTTATATTTGCTATTTTTTAATTTTCTGTGGTTGTCTTTAGAAATTCTCTGTTGACCTATTTTCCAACTCATGAGCCCATCTTTTGTGATGGCCAATAAATTTCAATCCCATCAAATTGCTTCCTAATGTTTGATATTATATTTTAGGTTATTATTTTTGACAGATTTTTAATTCCTCAGTGACAACTTGAGGACATAACAAAATTTACAAAAATGTAATATTAACATATTTGGATAATATACCTTAAAATATACTTAACATATAAAGTAGATCACAAATATTAATGCCTAACTCTCTGTTTAAAATAAATGCATGTAAGCACTGTGAACCAAAGAGTTGCCAGTTCGATTCCCAGTCAGGGCAGATCCCTGGGTTGTGGGCCAGGCCCCCGTATGGGGCACATGAGAGGCAACCACACATTGATGTTTCTCTCCCTCCCTTTCTCTCTCCTTTCTCCTCTGCCTAAAATTAAATAAATAAAATATTTTTTAAAATAAAGTAAGTATATATAAGTAAAACAATTACAATAATTGCAAAAATAAAATTAAATAGGGTAGTATGCAAATATGGCAAAAAAATTGTGATGGTGGTATACAAATAACTCTACTTGGAAGTAGTGTTATAGCTAAACACCTTTAACTATAAAGGACAGACTCTTTTTTAAGTTAAATGGTTGGAGTAATACTTGGAAGTAGCAGTGGAGAGCAAGGAAGGCACTGACCTCACCTCCTGATTTTGAGGAAACAAGGGTACAAGGAAATAAACAACTGCTGTTTGAGAATGAGAAAGGGGAGACGAGAACGCCTGATTTTAATAAAGGATAGGAAGAGGAAAGAGTAAAAAGAATAGCTGGAACTTAAGAGAATTAAAATATAACAAAATTCTAAAGGCTAGATATAATATTCTCAAACTGAGAAATACTGGTATACTGTTAATAATGAGAATGTTCATACCCCAGGATCCGTTAACTGTGCTTCTGGGAATTTTTCTGAAGTAGCTGAATGGTCAGAAGAAAGATATTAGTATAAGAACGATCTTTGCTATATATTAATAGCAAAGTCTAAGTAAAGCAAAAACCCAAAACTGAAAGAGCATGATTACTCAATAATTGAAAGTGACTAAACAAATAATGATGGGTATCTATGACAGAATGACATAAAGCCTCTAAAAATCCCAACCACAAATAGTTTAAGAATCATGCAAAACATTTTTTAATAAAAATGATAGGTAATATTTGTTGGTTCATAGGGTTGCAAAGTATGAGAAACACACATATACAAACAAGATTTATATAGATATAAAAATAAGATTTTCAGAATTTTAGGATGATAGAGTTGTTTTCATTATAAATTATTATTTGATGCCACTAGAGTTTAATCAAAAATGGATATATGTGTATAAAAAATTTCCCCCCTCAAAAGACTATAGACAGATATTTATCTCATATTGCTTTAAAAATACAACTACCTAATTTATCAGTGATGCTTCCTCAGACTTTCCTTATATATTTTTCTATATCATTCCTTCTTTAAAGGAATGTTTATAAGCTCTATAAATATAACTATGAATACAGGGAAAAGATGAGTGGTTGATAGTAGTTTGGTGGGTGGGGCAGATGAAGATACGAAGCGTAGGAAATTTTGAAAGCAGTGAGGTTATTTTGTATGATAACACAACAGTGAGCACATCAATATACATGTGTCCAAATCCATAGACTGTACAATACCAAGGATGAACCCTGATGTAAATAAACTGCACACTTTGGGTGATGATGTTGTGCCAGGGTATGTTCACCGATTGTAACAAACATAGGCTGTTGTGAGGAATGCTAACAGTGGGGGAGGTCGTGCAGGCATGGGGCCAAGGGTCATATGGGAACTCCCTGTACTTTCCACTCATTTTGCTATTTTAGGTTCACAGACTTAGAAATATTGTCTACTAACATTTAAAAACAGAGTTAGAGGCTAAGTTTCGATGTTTTATATTCTGTCTGATTAAGTAAATGTGATCTGAAGACTAAAGCATGAATTTGCAGGTAAAGCAGAAGAACATGTCAAATTATGAGCTGGATTCTTTCAGGATAGATTATTTATAACTTTTCAGCGATAATTTTTCTCAGTGTCTCTGTTTTGCCATTTATATAGTAAGGACTATAATGGTATTTTGCCTTGTTACTCCATAGGTATACCCTGAGGATAGATGAATATTTTACTGAAATGGTTCTCATTCCTTTGGTAAAAAGTGCTTTATAAACCAGTCACAGATCTGTGTCTTTTTCACCTTGTGTTTTGTTACAGTTACACAGGATGAATGGAGAAGCAACAATACAAAAGAAATAGAATTGAATCAGACTCTGAAAATACCATGCTTTCAAAATATCACCTTGGAAATTTCCTCTGAGTTCACCTTTGCATGGTTGGTGGTAAGTGCTGCCCTTTTCAGTGGATAACTGCAATGATCTTTAAATATTAATGAAGTAAAAATGAATAAAAATAATAGTAGGGAAGGAAACATACTGGATGAGAGACAGGTATTATGTGTTAGGTTGGGGAATGACTGTAGGGGGGAGGGGAACACTCAGCAAGTCTCTAGGTCTATGCATGCACTAATTTAGAAATTAGTTTCTAAAGGTTAGTTTCTATTTCTATTTCAAGCTATGTGCCAAGCTCTGATTACAGAAAAGAGTATGATGCAGTCCGGGAGAGGAGCCACATGCAACAGAAACCCCGACTCACAAACATTTGTTTTACAAGCAGCATATGCCAAGGGTTAGTTCCTCTTTCCTCAGAATACTTGCCATCACATCCTGGGAAGTACACGCCATGGCTTTACATTGGGAAACACAATAATGCTTATGAAATGCAGCTGGAAAACGTACCTGATAGAGGCAGGCCCTCTGTGACAAACAGCCACTGCTCAGCTCTGTTACTGCCACAGGACCAGAAGACCCATAAAAGCTATGTTTTCTGACTTCAAAATAACAAAATCCAGATATCTGAATCTGTTATGAGAAATTTTCCAAGGCAAGCCAATCAAATGGCAGCCAGCTATTAGCTAATATACACATTAGACCTCTACTACTGTTATATCAGATGATAATGTTACTGGACTAAAGGGGTCCCTTTGCCTGTGCAAGTCAAAGCCCAATAACACATGAACAGGAGTTTGCAGCCAAGAAAATAAGGATTTGTTAAGATGGAGCATGCCTGGAGTCACAGGTAGCTCATGCTCAAAGACCAGGCTCCCCGATGGCTTCCAGGGGATGGATTGTAGAGGGAAAATGTCATTAATCACTGTGACTAAAGCAGTTAGGGCTGTGGTCTGTCTGCTAGGTTGGTGCTAGGGTAGAAGGTAGCTGATTGTTGCATCTGGTCCTGATGTCAGCCATGGAGTTGCTCTAACTTTGCAAGGACTTGTCCTTTGGGATCATTCTGCTTTCCTGGATCTGGAGCTAAAACACAACTGAGGCCAAGATATTATGTTTAGTTTGACTGAAAACTGTCTCTGTAGTCAATAGACTCAGGCCTTGTTCTTAGGACTACAGGATGCCGACCAGAACCACCTTGTCCTGAGGGCTTAATGCTTGAGCAAGGGAAAGGGAGGTGGGTGAGTCAGGACACTGGATGAGGCCAGTTTGAATCAATGGGAAAAAGTCAAAATAAAGGGCAGATTAAAGAAAATAAGATTTCTGCATGATTACGATAACACAAAGCTAAAATATGGTGAAGATACTTGTAAATAATTTTGAGAATCACGGGTGTTCATTTAGATATCCCAGATTATGACTATGTTTTTTTAGATTATCATCACAATAAAAACACAAAATTTAAAAATTCTTACAGAACTCACAGACTTTCATAAAAGTAGCAACTGATAACAGTTTGCAAAAGACTGTGTTTGTGGGGTTTTTCATTTGTATCACAAGTTACCTATATTTTATGTACTGTCTTGGAAACTAGATCCTTCATAGAAAAAGATTTCTGTGGTAATGTGGCAAATCCAATATAACCGACTTGCAAGTAGGCTTTAAAGTACAAACTGCAGATCATTTTTCACTCTCTAGGTATTTTTTGGATAGTCAGTAGGAGGAAAAGAAAACATATTCTAAAGTAGCTTTCTCAAACTGTTCCAAATTTTACAATGTCTCTTTGTCATCTGTCAGAAAACACTTTTCTTACATGGGGTTTGGTTTCTGATATATTAGACTTCCTGGGCATTATGCCTGTGATTAGTACAAGTCTGTTGTTCTTGACAAATGGATACAATGTGGTTCTTAGGAAAAGACTGTGAAGTGGAGAGGACCTCGGAAGGGCAGAAACCACACCAAACATGACAGTAATGGAAATGCACTTTCTATACCTTGCTTACATTTTTAATATTTTCCACCAACAGGCAAAGAATTTCCACCCTAATTATCATAAATTCAACTATCAATAAGAATAATAAAGTTTAATAATAATGAAGCTTAATAAACCTTTGCTGTAGAGATTTTTTGCTGGCTAGTGGGTTGATCTGTAGTGCCTTACCTTAGCTTTAGGGTATATAATCTGTCTTTCCAAGTAAATGTAAAGCTATCAGTTATGTGCCTCTGAGCAATTCCAGAACAAAAAACTGCATCATTCACTTCAAAAATTCCTAGCAGTTGGTATAGGGCTAGAACCCAGACACTCAATGCATAATTGAATGGATCTCTTTCTCTTTGTCTTCCTCCCCCGTGGCTCTATTCTTGTCCTCATGTTAAATTGATGGTCACTAAATTGATGTTGGGCATTTGATCAGTTAATGATTAACAGCTCATTAAGTATCAGCGACTAGATAACTGAAAAGACATCCTTATCTGGTACTTTTCTTTAAAGAAACTAAGAAGTCTAAATAGACATCATCTTTAGATCCTGTGAGGACAGTTAAGATTAATGAGGGGCAGAGAGGGTGCCCTAAGGTCACACACTGAGAGGATGAATTCTAAACTTCTGCTGCATCCTCAAGCCATGCTGTCACTTTAACTAATGCATCTTGATACAGACCAGTTGAGGTATCTTTTTGAAAGAAACCTCTCCTCAAAGGGAATATTATATTGGCAAATGTGCTGATTAAATTCCTACTGTGCATTCCATTTTTAAATGCCAAAACCTCTTTGCTCCTCTGATTTACATCCGTACTCCTCGCTGTTGACAGCTGCGGGATTCAGCAAGTCTGATATGAAATTATCTAATTTCCTCATATTAAGAAATAAACTGCAGCTTTTTTATGTCATGACTTACACATCTTCAGAGGACATAAATATCCTCTCCAACTATATTTTAGTTATTTAATCTCATGTTAAACTAGCTATAGCAATCATAATGATAAGCCAGTTGGTCTCACAAACATCATATAATGAGGCTTTTAGAGAAAGATTAACATGTAGAGACGGGAAGATGAGCTCATGAGGGCAGAAACCTGCGATTCTGAACTCAGTAACTCCAGGAAGCTGCACACACTCCCACCTCAAGTCTGCATTAAATCCTGGAAACTATCTTATAAACTAAAATTATGTAAATCTAGGTCACTGGAAAATAAAAGTCATGTCTTCCTAGATGTGGAATTTTATGGAATCTAATCAAATCAGTTATGACCCTCATGGAGAAAGTTAGTATTGGGATTCTCAATTATCATCTGATCCCATACTAAGGCTGGATTAAATGACTCCATGGAGTGGATCTTTGGCATTTCAGGAAGTTGGGCTACAACTGTGACTACACTGAAGTAGACAAGTATCAGGCACAAGTAGACAAGGTATCCAACACTGATCTAGAATGAGAGGGAATTAAGTGGAAACAAAGACTTAACTTTTCACTGGACACTGAGGGTCTATGTGAATGGTGGGGTAATGGGTAAGAAATCACAGGATACATGTATGCTTAGATGGGATGCAGATGGTAGATAAAGGACAAGTGAAATGTTTCCCATTTTATGTTGGGGACCACAAACATACAGTCATCAGGGAAATTTGCAGAGTTCTGAGAGCTTCTACGTGCACCCTAGTATTCTGTTTTTATTCCAAATTATCATCCTGATTGCCCACAGTATACATTTCAATTCAATATAATAAACATGTGAGTCTGTTTGACTGCTAGGTCCTGCAGGGATACAAACTATAATAGATGTTTCCTATCATGAAATACTATTTTGATTAAAATTTATTGAAAAAACAACCCTGGCTGGCGTAGCTCAGTGGATTGAGTGTGGGCTGTGAACCAAAGCATTGCAGGTTCGATTCCCAGTCAGGGCACATGCCTGGGTTGCAGGCCACAGCCCCTAGCAACCACACATTGATGTTTCTCTCTCTCTCTTTCTCCCTCCCTTCTCTCTCTAAAAGTAAATAAATAAAATCTTTTTAAAAAATTATTGAAAAAACAGAGAAAATAGTTTGATTCTTACTAGAGACCTGAGATAACTTCTCCCAAAAATTATGTTTAAACTGAGTAATTAAAAATCAGTTGGCCAGTAAATGATAGACATGAACTAAGATCCTAGGACCAGTGAGTACAAGTTGGTAGTTGGTGGTGGGGTGGGGTGTTGAGGAAATGTTTGTTCCCAAAGTTGGCATTTAAAGAGAAACCCATGATTTTTCTTTGTAAAATCATGACAAGAAAGAGAGGAATATTTCAGAAAGCAGTTGAATATTAGTGATAAAGGAATATAACTAAAACCTAGATGCTCATACTTTTTAAAAATTTTTACTTCTAAATGTATGTTTTCAATATACTGTTTTAAAATATTTTTTATGTTTTATATTTAAGCAAAGAGACACATGATGCTAATAAACAATGCTGGTTTCCCATGCCTATGAGAAGCCTCACTATTTGGAAAACAAACTGTGGCCTTCCCCCTGATGACAACTGACTCTAATTGCCATTACCATACTTCAAATTAAAGTGCTAGCCAACCTACGAAGTGTTGACAACCAATTGTGATGATTAGAAAAATATTGTTCTGGTGCTCTACAAAGTAGACATGGGGAGCTTTGCAAGAAGCTGCTTTGATAGCACGGACTGGATGGAGAATAAGTGGAAGGAGTGTGAAGATAGGAAGCAATTTGGAGATAAAGATGCAGCAATCAATACTGTTAACAGAGTTTATTGATGAGCTCTATACACTCAACACCCACCGTGTGCTGTGGGCCACACCATCAGCTCTGACACAAACAAAGCTTGTGCCATCCCAGAGACCAAATAATATCACTAGAGCAAATAGTACCCAGGTCCCTCTTCCACATTGAAAATTCTGATTCTAGTACAAAAATAGGAAAGTCTCCACAAACCATTTTTAGGTTTGTCGGGTCTTTAAGGAACATAGGGAAGCAGTGTCTCATGGTTCAAAATGACTCAGCCAGCCCTCCTCATGCAAATCATCTTATCCAACTCCTGTATGTAACTTAATTACATGTTTATTTCTCTTCTGTGAGCATGATTTTGTATTTGCTTTTCCTGTGAGTGAGTTCCTCTCAAATAGACCCTAAGCAGAAAAGGCAAGGACTGTTTATCCTACTATGTTTATGAGGCTGTGTATAGCAAAGTTATAAACAACATGACTTTTGGATGGAAATTGTTGTTTTCAAGCCTTTGCTCTACCATTTACTAGCGGTGTGGCCCAAAAGCTAGGATTAGGGTACATAGGGCCCTCACCTTGGGTGTAAAACATCAGTACTCACAATATAATTATTAATGAAATATTTTTTAAATCAAAATTTCAGGAAAATTCATGATGAACAAAATATCAACATTTTAAATAAAGGCAGGCTATTCTTTGTTTGTTTTGAGACCCAGCTAAGTTGTTCAAGGAATGGTGTTTTCCAGCCAGTCTGTGCTTCCTGAGCCTTCAGGGCATCATGTCCCCAACAGGTGCATGTGTAAAAGTTGACAGAGGAGAAGAAATTGAGCAATGCATAGCTTTATGTTGCAATTTGAAAAAAAAATTTAATTGTAGAATTTTTATCAACTTTTTCCACTTATTCAAAATATGAGAGGATAGTTTGATAAGTGCATATAGGGGCACATGTTTTTCCTTTTGTCTCAGAATTCATATCTTAGATATGTTGCTTAACATGAGATTCCATTACCTCGTCTAGAAAAGGGGCTCATTGTAGTGCTGACCTCACAGTATTGTGGTGAGCTGTAAATAGGCTAACATAACTGACTAACTTTGCATGTTCCCATACTGAATAGGTATTAGAAACTAATCTCTAAATTCAAAGAGTTAGTTTTATGACTCTCCATAACTCCTTAATTTAGTCAGGCAGATAAGGAATAGTCATGAGGAAGCTGACCATCAGCTGACCATCACTGACCATCGGTGAGGCTGGAGGGCAGTCAGTTTGTATTACATAATTGGTGTATTGAGTGTCAGGACTAGTAGAGGTTAGCTAGTTAAATCTACATTTCCCACTAAATCATAAGGGTCCATCAAATTGAGAGTCCCATGACGTTTTAGATATATTTATTCATACTTTTAAAAGTTGCCAAAACTGTTTCTTTAAAGAACAAGAAGAGAAAAACAGGCAAGAATAAAGACTACAAAATAAGATTCCCTTACCAATCTGTTCCCTGTGAACCCTAAGGCTGTCATTATCAGGTAGCAGTTGAAGTATATTCTATGACCGCTAGAGTCATAGGGTATATGACTGCCGAGAGCTCTTTCAATCAGCAAATTGCCCACACCTCTGGAGTCTGTAACTTACATAAAGGCCTCTGGCCCCCTGGAATTTCTTTTAATTTTTTTCATTTCTGATATTCCCTAAAGGTTTTTATTGTGTGTATGTGTGATGGTTTGGTTTTCATTAATTAGCATGTGTTGTGTCTGAGGCTTATTTGCCCCTGGTCCTGGGCATCCCTGCTTTTCGGTGCTGTGAGTCAAGTACCTGCTTACTTTGTTCTTACTTTGTTCCTACTTTGTGTGACCTTTGAGTAAGTTACTTAACCTCAGCTTACTCCAGATTGCTGTAAAGAGTCAATAAGAACTGGTAGGCACAAAACAGATAATGGGTGGGTAAGAATAGTATAGGAAATGGAGAAACCAAAGAACTTATATGCACGACCCATGGACATGAACTAAGTGGGGGAGGAATGCTGGAGGGAGGACAGGTGCAGGGTGGAGAGGGATAAAGAGGAGAAAAAAATGGGACAACTGTAATAGCATAATCAATAAAATATACTTTAACAAAGAGAGAGATCTCCCAGGCAGGAAAAAAAAAAAAAGATTAAGACTTTAAGAACCTTGCCCAGTGCCTTAAACAGTAGGTGCTAAATAAATTTAAGCTATGACTAATAAGAATATAAAATTTTAGTAGTGGTGATAGCATGATATGGGTGTTGTTAATATTTCTCCCTCTCCCAGGTCCAGGCATTTAAATGTTCTCCTGCTTTAGTTTTTTCTACCTCTCCTCCCATTTGCTGTGTGAGGGGAGCCACTCACATGCAGTCTTGCCTTGACCCCTTTATAATTGAGATTTGAGATCCTCTCAGGATCTCTGGATGTTGTAGGTCACAAGGCAACTGAATTGCTTCTTTCCCAACAAAGAAAAAAACCCTTCCCTCTACAACAGTCAACTGCCCAGAAACACACACACACACACACACAATTTTAAACCCTTTGAATAAATTGGGTTTTTGTTTATTTTGTTTTTAGTGTATCTTTCCTCCACCAATTAAATCACCCTGGCTAGTTACACCCAGCTACACACTAAAGGAAAAGGCATTTTCCAGATCTGCAAATGCTGAGTAAAATGCCACCCAGTTACTTAAGGCTAATTTTGGAGCCCTTGTCTCCAGAAAAAAGAAGCTCTCTCCCTTTAATTTTCTGTACCATTCTCCATTAAGAAGGCAGCAGAATAGACTTGTAGGTCCTTCTTTATGTGTCTATAAAGGTGTGTAATTTGCTGTTTGTAAAGCTGATACCAATCTTAGCCATAGTCACTTAAAGCATTGTGTCTTACCTAAGATTTTCTAAGTATATTCTGGAAATATTTATATAAACTATTTAAGAAGTATGTGTTCATATTTCTACTGTTTCTGCTCCAAGTCCATACTTGAATTCTCTCCCCTGGCTTCCATTTCTTCTGCCTGACTTGGATTCAGGATAGAAGATTCCAAGTCAGATCTTTGTTCTCATTATTTCATGGCTTCTTCCCCATCAGATGCATTCCTGTTCACTCGTCTCCACTTCAGTTCCCTCCATTTCCCCCAAGCCCTGTGTGTGGGTTTCACCTGTTGTTTAGAGTTAGACTCGTGATTCTCAGGTCTGTTTCCTCTGAACACCTTCAAAAAACAAGGCCCCAGCCTAGGTCTCTCTCCAGAACAACTGAGTTCAAATCTCCAGAGGAGAAGCTTATGCATCTGAATGTTTTCAAAGCAACTCAACTGAGAATATTGAGTTATACTAAGTGGTATAAGGACATAACCCTTCCTCGACCCTTGTGCCCCTCAAGAGTTCTGTCCTCACTGGGCCCTTTGCACAATTACTGACACTGACCAACACTGTGACACCCCCAGGACCTCATCCGTGGAAATTCTGAGTAAGTCAAGAATAACAAGAGCTTTTCTTCACAGACCCAAGAAAGGATATGGAATAGAGAGTCCACATACTTCAAATGAACTTTGATCTCCAAAGTTGAGATTAATATTTACAGCCTATCTTCATGTGTCTTCTTTGAAGGTAGCTCCAACACAGAAATAAGAGCAGAAGGGGAAGGACCATGACTGAGGTAAGGAGGAAAGGAGATGCCTACAGTGCAAAATGTAAGGAGGCACTCACCCTCAGGTGCCTGGCCTGCATTTACAACACTGTGAGTGTTCCTTAAATTATGTGACTTAGGAGTCTCCTCACCTCATCCTAGTCTTGGTCCTAAAATGAGACCTTTTCTAAAGTAATGCTGGGAAGAGAAAGCAAAACTATAATCATCCAGTTCAGCTGAAAATTTTAAAAGCAAAGCTTATAAAGCCTTCTCAGCATATCTTAGCACTAAGATTTCTGAACCTAAAAGGAGAATGATGATCTGCCAGTAGCCCCAAGTCCTGTGCCCTTCAAATCTCACCCTAGACATGAAGCTTATACAGGGTTACAACGGGGAAGTTCTAATCAGAAGAGCAGCAAGTTTTTATTTACATTAGGAGAAGGTGACAGTAGTTTTTAACTGAAAGTCAAGTGTAATGATATTTTGTCTAGTAACATATTAAATAGCTCTTAATTTCAATTCTTTATTCATAGTCTCTATCTTTATAAGATATAAATGGATTAATACTGGTGGAATACCTAGCTTAGCACTAGCACAGTTGAGTGTCAATAACTGGTAACTGTTTTTCTCACCAGGAGGGTAATGGAATCCAGGAAACGCTCATCATCCAAGGTCAGCCCATCAGCAATTCTACATTATTTAAAGACAGAGTCAAGCTAGGGGCAGACTATGGGCTCTACCTTTCTCCAGTCCAAATCCATGATAATGACCGGAAGTTCTCTTGCCACGTTACACTCAGGTCTGGCAAAACCTTGAGGAGCTCTACCACGGTCAAGGTTTTTGGTAAGAGTTTTTGTATTCTGCACACCCTGCCATCCTCCTGTCAATATTGCCTGCCTACATTTTTCCCTAGAGAGGAAGCGACCTGTTTTACCTGGAGTAGCCATGTGAGGGTAGCTATTCCGAAGGTCTGTTTACCTTGATACTTGTACTTCATGTTGGGGGGTCAAGGATGAGAGTAAGAAGTAAAACAATGATGATTCAGTTTATAGACTGAAATCACACAGAAAGTTGGTCAGTTTCCTGGAGACTACTCCCTTATTTATAATTTTAATGTTTCCCAATAATACTGGAAATCTCTTTAACTATAACTGCCAAAGTGTAATTGCTTAATTGTCTAAGTATCTGAGTTGCTTGCCAGAGCAAGACAGAATAAGGCCAGTGTAAAGAAAGGAAGATGATAAACACAGCGCTGGAGAAGCTCTGCAGGCACACCCCCACTGTCGTGCTGAGGCGGACTGTCCCGCTCCTCCAGCAAAGGAGCCTGCAGGGTCCAGATTTGGGGGGAAATGTGAAAATTCTATTTTGCTCAGTGATGCAAAGAAAATTAGTCAACAGAATCCTCTAGCATTCAACATTTTTTAATCTCTATGACTAAGAACTGTGTTTTTTAAAACAGCATTTTTAAATTAAGGTAAAGAGAAAAGTAGTATCTGGATGAGCAATTAATTGTTTTTGAAAGTGCTATAAACAAAAAGAAATTAACTTTACAAAACGTAAGCCATGAATGGCAGAACAAGTAAAAAAATCTTTGTTTTTACTGTTTACTTAGAATCTTATTGCATTATTATTAGAGGTCACACAATTCTGTTTTGAAGGAAATGCCAGCCCTGTAGCTCATAAAAATGGAGTAGCTACAGCAAAAATTAATACAACGTGAAGCCTCTGACATAGATTTTTCTACATTTCTCTCTCTGGCTCTCACGCTCTTCTTCCTGCCCTCCCCCCTTCCTTCCCTCCATCTCCAACTCTCTCCATGGATGGGCTGGGAAATAATCCCTCACCTCTAATGGTAAGATTTCTTAGGAGCCTAAACAATGTCCTATGAAAAAGAAGAGACTGTTCATCTCATTTATCAATTATTACCCTTAGCTCTCTCACCAAGGCGTGACTGTGTTAGCACAAACATGAAACTGGCTCATCTGGTCGGACTATTGGCAAATCAATGAAGGCAGCTATCTGGGATGTGCAAAGAAATATCAGTTCTAAGTAAGGCAAACCATATTCCATTTGACTTCCAAGGGTTTTTGCACCACAATTTGATCCAATTGCCTTGTCAACAGTTAAATTGTGTCAGTATTTCTTGGTCTCGAATGCTTTTGACTTGAATGCTTTTTACATATAACTCATCAATCCACCTATCTATTCATCTATCTTAACATTGCTGTTTCTTCTTTGAACTCCTTTCAGTAGATGCTTAAAAATATGAGACTCTGTCTGCTTGTTGATTGAATTAGAATTTCCCTGCTTCCTGGGCTTTCTCTTTTAGCAAATGGGATGGCTAGGTTTTGTCAGGTTAGTCTCATCTAGTCTTGAACCTACTGGATGTCACCCAAATGTCTATTATAGTGGCCTGGGCACAGAAATACAGTACATGTCTTATTCAGAACACACTGTGCATCCCTTGGTGATCCCTCAAGTAGAATGAGCCAAGAATGAGAATATGAAAACCTTAAATACCCAGGTATACCACAGACCCATTCTCCATGTCCTAGATCCAGCTTATTTCCTCTTCCTGAACAATGCCTTTACTCTCCAATAGACTAGGGATCAGAAGCTTGCCCAGCTCCCCTGTTGCTTCCTGCATCTCCCTTATTATTCTCCCTTAACTCTTCTTTTCTTAGTGGGAAGTCACCTGCCATCACAAATTTGCTCTTCCCCAATCCTTGGCTCTGCACCTGATTGTCCTAAACCTCAGAAAGAATCTCTATCACCCCTACAACTTAGTAATTTTTCTTCCTTTCACATCCTTCATTTTACTGGTATTTGTTGTTAATGGGAGGTCAGAAATATCCCTCCTCTCATTGGTGTTCTAGGATTTTATCTTGATTTTGGTTCTCCTGGAAGAAAACAGTGAGGCAAGGATTTGAGTTGAATTTATTCATTTGAGAAGTAATCCTAAGAAACATCAGAAGAGGAAGGAAAGGACCATCAGAAGGGAAGATAATAGAATAGACGTGATCAAGCTATGGGCTTAGAGCTCAGTCCCTGGGTAACTCTGGGAGAACATGCACCAGAGTTATCCCAAAGGAAGACCAGGAAGCTGAGGCATTAGCTCCAACTCCCCATCTTTTATTGCTGTAAACTCTGGGACTTCTAGTTTGCCCTATTTGTGGACTCAGTGTTCTCTCCTAATCCCAGCAAATCCTTAGGGGAGAATCACAGGTGTGCCCAGTGAGAGGCCTCAGCAAGTAGAGGCAAATGACAAGTGGATTTACAGGCAGTACCAGCACCTGTGTCAGAGTCTTACTATTTCCTCCACTGGTCCACAGATGGCTTTGTCTGCTGCACTCCAGAACTTAAAACTGTTTAAGTTCAACATGAGGTACTCATTGTCTACTTTGTACTGGGCTTTGTTAAGTGCTTGAGAGAAAGAGATGAATAAAACAGCCTGGTTTTGAGGCACCTACAATGTAGCCAGACGACAAAATCACTGAAGGAGTCCCTGATATTTTCTAGTGCCAAACAACTAAAGCATCAAGTGTTTTTCTGTCCCTTTCAAAGGCCTATAAATTACATTGCCTTTTAGGCGTTTGAACGTGTAGACTACTCCTTTCTACTCTCTCCCCACCACCTGCCCCTCCCCTCCTCCACTTTCCCCATTTCACCTGACTCACAGATAATCATCATTCAACTATCAGATTTTTCATCTTTCAAAGGCTTCCTCTTATTCCCCAAGGATGGGTTAGCAGCTTCTCTTAAAAGCTTTTTTTCAAATCCTACATGTCTTCAATTATGGTACTTATCTCAGTGTGTTCTAATTTCTAGTTTATCTGTCTGTATTTTTCATGAGAATATAAATTTCTTAGAGACAGTGAAGATGATTTGCCCACCTTTGTTTCCTAGGAATCTAACACAATGTGTGTTTAACATCTGACGAACGATGAATCTTGCACACATGTGCACATGTGCACATATGCACACACACGTGGCCAGGTAACATGGAGTTCCGTGTCACTAACTGTGTTTTCTTTGCCTTTAAGCTAAGCCAAAGATCTCCATGATTATGGAAAATAACTCCATGGGACAGGTGAGTCACATTAAAGCCTTTGAAAATCTGCAGTATAACATGCCAAGGTGTATCAGGTCACATCGTTGCTCGGAATGTTTTTCCAAAAGATCTTACTCCTTGGCCCTCAGCCAATTAATTCCTGGTGAGGAAGAAAGGAAGCTGAATTGCTTCTAGAAACCTAAGGGGAATTCTTACTGTCTGACTTTGGACTCTCAGAGCATGTGATCTGTGATCCCAAGTCCTTAATATTTCTGAAAAAAATAGTCTCAATAACTTAAATTTCTATTTTTGATAAAGATTGAAGCAGATAGTGAAGGAAAAGTAGGGCAGAGAGCAGTGTGAATCCTGGTGAAAGAATGAGTTTTATTCTCAGCAGACATTTAATTTGTTCAAAGCCTTTTCCTGTACCAGATTTCCCATTGTTTTTCCCATTGTTTTTATTTTGAAGTTAACAAGGAGCAACCTGTCCTTATATACCCTTCAGAACCTGGGCTATTTCTTAGGCAGTAGGAGACCAGGCAAGAGAAAAGGGGAAGTAAAGTAGGCCCTCTGACTTCAATTTCTAGTAGGTAGTTTCCAGCCTCTAATCACTGGAACCTGGGCTCTCTTGCCAGCTCTTCCTCTTGCTGGCTGTGACCATGGGCAAATTATTTCATATCTTTGTAGTCAGCTTTCCCACTTATATGAAGGGGATAAGACAAGCATCTGCTCAAATATTGTTGTGGTTTTTAAAACAATGTGTGAAAAGTTCTTAGGATACAGTGTGGTATACATTAATTGCTCAATAAACATTATTTTGTTGTTTTGTTTTTATCACTACTGTGTGTGTTAATCATCTGTCTTGTGGCATTATGATTTCATTCTAGCTTTTCAAAACTTCAAGTAGAAGAAATATCCACATTAACTCTCAAACATTTTCTATTACATGGGATAAGAGAAAATTATACTCATATTCTGTTTCATTTCTAGTCCCAAGAATGTTAAATAACTTATGATTTCTAGTCCTGCTGAACATCATTAATTTAATTTGACAGTGGAATACAAATCCCCATTGTATTTTTAATAACTTATGAACTCTTTAAATAGCTCAGACTCTGTGGAATGGTGTCAGATGAGTATATCTGTGCATTATGCAAGTATTTGTGTCTTTTGTTGATTTTGTGTATCAATCTTTTAGATAATTGCCATTACAGTTCTAAGCATATAGAAAAAGATTTTAAATTGTTCTGCCACAAATAATTCCCAATTTTAACAGTGGGCTTTATTTCAATAATTTAAATAAAACAACAAAAAAATCTAACGGTACAATATTTAGTAGGTGTTTTTGTTATAAGGATTTCTTGTAGGTTCTTGGTGTCAATGTTTATAGGTAATATGTACTTAATCAGATATGTAACCATAAAATTCAACCCAAGAATTCCAGTTTTAAAAGTAAGGACTTTGTCTTCCATGTTATCAAATTTCCTCTTCTGCACCGTGTTTGCCTCGGGGGGCTGAGAGGGAAAACCAGAGGCCATTCCTTCCTGGGGAATTAGTGAACACCCTCTCACTAAATCCACATAACCAGCTACAGGACACAACTTGTCTTTGGATCTTTTAACATCCTGCCAAACATTATAGATTCCTCATGCTAATATTCTTATAATCCCCATTGTATTTTTAATAACTTACAAACTCTTTAAATTCTTTTTACATGCTTTCATCCTGTGATGCTCCCAATGAGCCTCCAAAATAGGTAGGGTATCTGGCATTTTATACATGAGAAGTTGAGACTTGGAGAGTCTGAACAACTGGCTGAGTCACTAATAAAGGGCCCAGCTGGGATGAGACTGTAGTGTGTATATCCAGGCTGGGGGGCGTAATGAAAGGAGTCAGCTTCAGGGGCAGGTAGAGCTAATATCAAACACTAATTTGACCATTTAAAAGCCACATATCCTCACTGAATAGTTAACCTCCATGAGTCTCAGCTAACTCATCTCTAAAATTGGGGTCATAATAAATATTTCACAGAGTTCTTAGGTGAATTAAATTTATGCACAGTAATGAAGTACATGATGACACAGAATAAATGTCTCAGCAATATTTCTTTCCTCCCCACTATTTATCATCCACTCACTCTCTTTCACTCATTCCTTCCTCTGTATTTATATTCATAAATCTACTATGTGATTGATTCTAGGAGACAGTATAGGATAATGAAAAAACAGACATAGATGTTAGAATCTGATATACCTGGGTTGAATTCTCATCTATTGCTTACTAACTCTGGCCCCTGGAATCCCAGTTCCCTAGCTTTCTTGTCAGTGAGCAGGGGCAGCGATCCCAGCATCACAAGGGTAATGTAAGGATCCAATGAGAGAACATATGCAAAGAAGCTACCACCTGGCTACCATATGTGTTGGGCAGTGGGAATTTTCTACCTCCTCCCTTCATTCTCTAGAAATTACTAAGTCAACGTGTAGGTGTTAAATGCCTACTATGTGCTACATATTCACTAACTCAGCAGTGCTCATCATCGTTAGAACAACAGGGATTTGTTCAGTCATGAGTAGTGTTTTCCTGCATTACTAGTTAAAGTTTTAAAGGTTATGGTTAACTTAGTTATCCTGCAAAACGGAAAAGTCCCCAAATTATTCTAACAATGATGTCCTTCAGGCTTGGACAGGCCTAGAATGTCCAAGTGTCACACCTGCGGATGTTATGTTCTTGTGCGTTTCTGAGAGTGAAGCTTCACCAGGGTTCCAATGTGGCATGTAGCCTGCCTTCATAGCTGAAATGGCAAAGGGACCTTCAACTTAAACCTTGAGGGCCTACCACAGAGTGGATTTTTACATTAAAGCAAAAGGTGCTGAGAAAGAACCCCCTCAGCCCAGAGCCACTGGCCCTCTCCACCCAGCTCTGATGATGCAGCAAAAGAAGGCACAGAGAGATGCATGCAAATTCCAGAACTGACTCAACAGTTCAGTCTCTGCACAAGGCACAAGTGTCTCTTTTATACCTGTGCTTTATTCTTTAACTCCATCATTTCCATAGGTCCTGTCCTTGTCACTTCTAATCTTTATTATGTTTGACAAAATTTAGGGGAAAATATAAGGAAAATTACCTAACATGAAACATAGGGAACAGAAGCAGTTAGTGTTTAATGCCTAAGAAAGAAGGGAATAATAAGAACCATATAAGATAGACACCATAAGCTAAAAAACATATATCAAAGTTAGCAGGATAGCTCTAGTGGCTATTCACAGTATTTGGTGTTTTGTTTATTTAATTTTATTTTTGTAAAAAGCCTGAATCTTTATCGATTCCTTGACCTTCTTAAACAACATTCTGTGTGTGTGTGTAAGATTAGGTATACGTATTGTGGCCTCTTTTCTCTTTCTCTAGCATACTGTGGCACAATAAGACTCGAATCCAAGTGCCTGGCTGCCAGCCGCCATCGCCATTGCAGTGGTGTGGGCCTGAGCTTTCTCCATAGCTGCAGAAGGCCCTGGGAGGGGAACCACTATCCCAGTGGGGAAACCACATTTCCTACCACGTGGGAAGTGAAATTTTTAATACCAGTCACATTTCTAGGGAAAAAGGGGATTACAGGACTACAGCACAGCCTGGGTTTTTCACAAGCCTGGTGTTTGAACTTTTGTCTGTTCCACAGACAGCTCACAGGGAAGACAGATCTGTTTGTCAGAGCTGCCGACAGACTCTAAGAACAAGCAGTCAGAGGGAGCCACTTCGTTGAGGACTGAAAGAGGGAAGACACCATTAGTGCACCAGGATCTTGTCTGCTTTCAGGGATGACAGTGCTCGTAAAGTACTTAGGCTTCTACAAGATAATGGGATAACACTGACTTTATCTCTTCTTGTCTTTCCCAGCTTTTTTCATTCCCTTTTCCTTATTCCCAACTCAGGTGTTTTTAAAAATAGATTCTAGAGGAATCATCCAAAACAAAAGTCAGCTCTAGCACAAAGGCCCGAGTAGTTTCCACTTTAGTTTTATTCCATTCTTGAGTTAACATTTTAGGTGTTTCTTCAGCAGCCCAGAGAAATTTTCTCTTTCTATGCACTGTTAGTCTCCCTTTTTAAAAAACATCTCTGAAAATTTAATGAGGAATTGTTTTTTTAAAAATCTGAGAACAATGGATGGACATGCAGTTAGCCTTTCAGAAGCAGAAAATATAATCCACAAACTACTGCTCCAATGGACAAGTGGTCTGTGTGTTCTCTGGAAACAAAACAAAATAACCTAACTCACTAAAATTTACTTCAGAATCTGAGAAAATGCTCTACTGTCCTCCTCTTTCCCAGACAGCCATGGCTTCTTTTAACATTTGGTGGTGAATTTTTCCATGAGTGCTGTCTCTCTTCTTCTATGTTCACATTCTTCTCTATCCCTTTTCCTTTCTCTTTTAACTTTTGTGCCTCTGGTCTGTATTTCTCCTACTTACCCCATCTCTCCATCTTTTTATGTTTTTTTTTGAGATTCTCTCATGTCTTCTTCACTAACCCCTTCTCCTTTAACAGACCTTAATATGAGACTATATTATATTTCAACGATTTATAAATAAAAATTTATATCCTATATCCTTAATGTTTAACTCAAAGGAATTGTAAAGTATTTAATTCTCTCTTTGCTGATTATGCATTATTATTTAGGTATTACATTGTTGAAAAGACTTGCAAGATTCAGACAGGTAATAGTGAGGAAACAGCTTTAATAAAAGCAGATGAGACAGCACTACACCAATGGAAGAAAGGTACACATTAGAAAGGTCTGGAGATTTCAGGACCAAGCTTCTTTGTCCTTCCACTGCTGGATTCCACAGGACAAGCTTTGTATCCAGTTCTCAAATCACCACCATATGCATACAAACACCTTCCTGGTCCCAGGAAGCCTGAGCTCTGCTCATTGGTGGAGGTTGCTTAGAGGATGGTGGTCATGCAGGTGCAGTCCAGCTACCCAACTGGCTTCAACTATCAAAACCGTCAGCTTTACCAAAACCAACTGCGAGGCATAACTCCCACTCTTTTCACTCAACAACGGTGGCTGGCTGGTACATTCTGCCACAAACAAGTCACAGACCCATGGTAGCAAAACAACATCTATAGTTAGTTAGTATATTTTAAAGTTTTTAATTAGTACAGCACTAGGAACCCTGTAGATAGGCATTGGTTATTCAGACCTGCTGAGATTAACCCATAGTACGCACTCCTTCTCTTAAAAACAAAATCCCACTGAATTGCTTTGCTATATCTTTAAGCTGGAACTAAAATGGCTTTTTGCTATGAGTCTAAAGTCAGTGTTCTAGAATAGATCTCCCCAAGCCGTACTTAAACAAAGTGGAAGGGGCGAGCTGCAGCAGGCTGGTCTCTGTCCCCCTGGCAGGCCTCGCTCTCAGCCCTCACCTTCCATTTCATCTCCAGAGTGTCCCTTTCCACCTCCTCCACAGCTCACTCTCTCCTTTCCACGGCCTGCTCCTGCCACTCCACTGCCCTCTCCCTCCTAAGAAGGTCCTTTTCTCTTTGACTGGCCCACAAAGTCAGAGTCCCCACCTGCTCTAGGAGCCTGGCCCAGTCGCCCTCAATGCCCATGGGGAGCTGGGGCCCTTGAGCCATTGGGTCCTGGCGCTGCCCTGCCTGACCATGGTCACTCTTCTCCAGTTCCTCTCTGTGCATGCTCTTCAGATGCTTCCACAGGGCGGTGGTGCCCACATTCACCCCGGGGCCATGGCTCACCTGCCTTCCACACAGACGGCAAGTGGTGTATTGGTTAGGGTGGTGCCCAGCACGAGCAGGCGCCAGGTGGAAATACTCCCATGCCTCAGAAAACCGGGTCCCCTTGTTGTGGGGCACCGGGGTGGACATGGCACTCACAAAGGGGCCAGCCAATTCTCCCATCTCGTGAATCTCCTCCTCCTCCTTTACCTGTAAGTTCCCTTTTGCATTTGCCCTGGTTCTCTCCTCTTCCTCCTCTTCCCGCCTCATACTGTCTCCTCTTCTACAGCTTTCCATGAGCTAAAAGTCTTAGTTGAACCACAACTATGGCTAACTGTGTATTTGGAAAGGAACTGTGTGATTCACAACAATGGTCAAAGAAAGGCTGGCCACCCTGGGGTGGTGTGATGTTTTCTCCTTTCTGCTTCGCTGGAGAGTCAGGGTGAGTCAGAGGCAAGCAAAATGGTCTCCAGTGCTCTCCTGCACATTCCCCATGTGTCCCGGTTATGTACCAATCCCTCCTTGGCTGGGCCAGAAAGTCAAAACAAATTAGTGCAATAATTACAGAGCTCTTCAGTGAACTCAGTGTTCTATGTACATCAAACACCACTGTGGTGTCTTTGAATGTTGAAAATTTTAGGTTTTCTCCAGCCTGCTTCCACCGTGTCTGTGCTTCTGGATACCTGTGAAATGTGTTTGGAGGCAGGAGGAGCAGCCTCAGGGTTCAGGCTATTTGGGATGCCCAGGGCTGGAGCTTCGCCAGGTCTCTCTCAGTGTAGGTAGCAGCAAGCACAGGCTCATGTGAGAGAGACTCGTGCTTCCTCAGAACTGTTGCAACAAGCAGTCAGAGACTGAAAAGTCTGCCAGGGTCCAGGTAGTAAAGTTCCTAACGTGAGGTCAGTGTATCCCTAGAGAAGTCCTCTGGGGCTGGAATTCTAAGAAATCCAAACAGCAGGGTGAGCTGTTTTCAGTGGGAGGAGCTGGCATGCACGGAGGAGAAACAGGTGGACATATCTCCACAGGCTCAGTTTCACCCGATGGTCCTGGCAAGAAGCTCAGCACACTCCGCCTTCCCTTGCACCATTATCTGCAAAGCCAATAGCTGATAAGACCTTCTTGACAGCAGCCTACTCCAAGTGTTTGGCCTATTTACCCCTTTTTAAGAATTTTTTTAAAATAGAATGTTATATTACATTTTAAAAGCAGCCTGACCACTGACTCCTTACTTGGATTGTTTTTTAAGTGAATTAGAGCCTCATTCATTAAGATTTGCAACTCCAAACAATTGAAAAACACCTGCCAGCCACTAGTGGGTACTTACAGTCAAGGGAGGCTCTGGTTCTGTCTCTGATGGCTCCAGTGCAGAGTGAGTGCTCCGTGCACCGTGAATAACTGTTAGCTGGCTCCTGCCCCAGGAGGAGGGTACCTTCAGTTCCTGTCCCCTCCTACTTTCAGAAGAGCCTTGTTTCCAAGTGGATGTGTCCCTGCCTGTGGGTTTTTCTGCATTGCAGACACAAGTGCAAACTTTTTCTCTGCCCCCTCCAGCACTAAAAGGATGTTCCTGGCAAATGCCATGTAGCAAAACAGCAAATCCAGCACCTACACATTTCAGTTTTGTTTCCAGATGACTAGATTATCTGGCTTTCAAGCAAGTGAGATTTAAGAGGAAAATGGTGAATATGGGCAGGGAAACCACATACCTCAAGGGCATCTGTGGTTTCAAGTATTTTGTCCAATTGTCGGACCAAGAGCCTCAATTTGGTTTAGAAACTACAGGTGTTGTAAACACAGTAAGTAAAAAGCCAAAGAATTTGGAGGAAAGGGAAGATTAAGTTTAAAAAATAAAAACAAATTCAAAGAAGCATGGCAAATTGAGAAACAGATTTGGAGTTGCTTTTTATTATATTATGTAAATAGACTTGGAAAAGCTGAAATCCTTTTGGCTTGTACTTTGAGTTGGAGTAAAATAAAGAGATAATCACAACTTAAGCAAGAAGATGTATATCCATACATATTATAAATAAATGAATATATATATTATGTTAATTGAAGAAGAAAAACCTGCCAAGAGGAGATGGAAACATTTTAAAGAAAATGTACTTTGAAGAAAAAAAGTTGCATTGTAGGAGAAAAGATAGAAAAGGCAAAGTAAAAAACTTGTGGAGACAAAGAAAAATTTCAAATGAAAGAAAAGGGGTAGGGGAGGAGGAAAGACTGCAAATAGGAATGAGGAGTTAGTAAAGACATAGGGAAACTTTGTTTAAGATTTCTTTTTCTAAACTAAAAAGCTAAATGTTTTCAAAATGATTCTTTGCAAAGCCCTTTAGAAAAAGTTCTGTCCAAACTTAGGGAAACTAAATATGGGTTAACAGAAAAATGGTCACCATTTCAGTATTTCATCCATGGAAATAAGGGAATGATCAGTTTTACAGACATATTTGGATCCATTTTTTCCAGCTCCTCAATCTCCTAGTGCTCCGGACATCCACTGGCTTGCCTCTGCTTTCAGAACAGCATTCCCAGCTCACACCTGGTTTATGAACCCATTTCACTTGTGCATCTCTGTGGATTCCTCACTAGTGTCCAACAGAGCCCACCTGTAGAGGCTGGGCTCATTTCTTCCCTGTCCACAAAATGCAACTCTGTTCTTTAAGTTCTTTTCATATTTCATTCTTCTCTAAACTCCTAAAACATGTCCAAACACTTTTTGGCATTTATTACACAGTTCTTTGTACTATTGCTCACTTATTGCAGGTAGATTTAACATAACATGTTGCAGAAACCCATGATTTTGCTTATCTCACAGAGGCAACAGGCACACGATGAGTAAGTGAATGATTTTACTTTAGAGCAGCGGAACGTGTCACTGGGTAAGCTTGTATGTGTGCACATAGACGTTCATGCATAGTTAGTTCTTCTTTTTCTTTTAATTTGACATGATTTCTTCTTATGCATTTGGGACAAGTAGAAGTTTCCAAATAAAGACAGCTCCATTTGTTCAGCAAAACCATACATGCTCAATGTTTCCTAAGATGTTTGACTTCAACTTGAACTAGTATACTCTACAGTTTTTCAGTTTTAAAGAGACTGGGGGGAGTTTCAGGACAAAAACCATATTCCTAAACAAAATCTTGGGACATAGTCTAGAGATGGAATACAATATTTAAAATCTGAATCATTCCATAAAATCTGAATTCAGAGAATCCACAAGAGCTAAATCTTTTAAACATATTTATTAAGTTGACAAGAGATTTTTTTTCAGTGAGACAGAATCTTTGTGAAATAATGGAACCCTCACTGGTTACTGATATTACCACAGCATCATCTTTTGGTGGGTTAACTGACCATGGAAGAAATGAGTCATAAGGATGGTTAAAGGTTGACATAACACTGCATTTCCTATAACTCGCATGTCCCTTCCTGGACCACCTTTAGATAATCATTAGTCTTGGCATTTTATTGGATTAAATAAACTAAATTCTTTTTTCTTTAATAAATAATAATATATTTTAAGTGACCTGGTTTTATTTTTGATTTGTTAGGGCAGAAAGTGAAATAATTTCACAGATCTGCATCCCTGCCACTGCATGTATTCCCGCTCTCAAGTGCTGAATGAGTGGGAACACGGGGAGCTGCACTGTTCCCTGCTAACCATCTTGGATACATGACAGATAGCTTCTTCAGAAAGTCGCATTATTTCCTTGAGATTTTGGTGGTCACACACTGAGAGGTGTTACACTCTACCTCAGTAGGTTCTCACAAGAGAAATGTAACTCAGTGTGTTTAAATTTGGTTTCTCGGCTCTATAGGTGCAGACACTTCGTGGCTAACTAGTCTGTGTGGAAACTGGCACACCACACACGACATACAGTTAATTGTTCTTTATTAGTTAACTACTGGTTCTTTACAGTCATCAGTTGGAACACATTTGAGAACTAAGAACAAGAGCTGGTAATAGGTAAAACTACACCCATCTCTTGATGAGAAAACAAGTAATTGTAAGTGGAGTTATAATTTTGCAGTATCTTAGATAAAATAATGAGGATCCAATAAAGTCACCAAGCTATTGAAGAAACCACCATCTCACAAATAGTGTTGAAAACACAACCCTACCTCTAAACTTTCTAGTGCTGTAACATAAACTACCTGGTTTTCTTTCTCTCTTATTTCAATAAATGTGTTTTACCAGGAAATATTTTGGACTGGAATTAGGTAACAGAGTTCCCAATTGTTCCATCAACTATATTCCACCCACCCCCTTTAGCCATTCTGTAATTCTGTGCCTTGGTTTCTCCATCTGTCAAGTGACAATAATAAAGTGTGACCCACCTACCCTATAGTATTAAGATAATAACATGAAAAATGAATTAGGAAAACTTTCTACAAGTCAAAAGTGAGATATTTACAGTAAGGTGTAACTGTGGTTATTGCTACAAATAGTACTTTACACTATTTGGGGAATGGAAACAAGCAAAGTGTGGCATTTAGTCTAACAGAATATTCTTGTCTGGCTTCTGTTACAACTTCTTCCTTCTATCCTTTCATTTCCATTTAGTACATTTTATTCTGCATGTGTAGTTGTGATTTTCTTCTTTCAAAACCCAGAATGCAGATTTGCAATATTAGTATTGTTTTGAATTCTAGCCATTAATTTATAACATAAAGAGAAAGTCTATTTATAGTTCAAATTTCTGTACAACCTCTTAAATGTAAACACTGCATTGTTGAAAGTAGAGAAAGTATTTCCTGCTGGTTTGCCTCTTGGGAGGCTCAGTGAGGATATAAGGGTCATCTGTTTCTTCTGAATTTGCAAATGATTCTTTCTGTGTCCTGTCTTTACCCCAGAGAACACTCACTTGCTCACTGAGGAATGTATTTCCTACAGCAAATTTCACATGGTTTACAGACAGTGGCTCTCCTCAAGGTGAAAGAAAAGGTAAGGAAATCAGTCAATGGAAATGGGGTTGGCAAAGAAAGAAAACAAAGAACAATAAAAATTGCCGTTGCCTAAGATCGTCTTGGCATTTAAGAACAATTCTCCTCCCGAGACAAACATCACCTTGCCTACCAGGTGCCACTTTCTGATAGCTCATCTGGCCCCTCCAGGAGGATGGGGGCAACATTTCCCAGCATGTAAGAAATCCAGTTGACGTAATCAACTTACACACAAACACTAACGTTTTATTTCAGTTAGTAAAAGCAGATCTGTTATATGAGGGCAAAATGTTTAACTCAACATAAATTTATTAATAATTTTATATTTAGTAATTAATATAATACCACTGTTTAAATCAATAAACATGATTTCCACATCTTCTTATAAGGACCTAGGTGGAATGGGAGTTGGGGGAATTGGAGGAAGTGCACAGAAAGGACTTCGCCCTGTTCACCAGGGGGATTAAAAGTTGCTGGATCAAGAACACACACTGAAACGAGCTCAGGGGTGGCTGCACAAAGCCATAGTTTTCGTAGGCGAGGAACTTGACAGCCTTTGCCAGAACAATCCCAGCCATTCCCTGCCTGGGCATCAGCTCTGCTCCTTTCTCCTGAGTCATTTTTCCTCAAAGTGCAATGTACTTTCAACAGTAACTGAATGCATAGCTCTTACTGCATTACTTTTAATTTGAAAAATTAAAGGTTTATGTTTCTGAATGATTGTGTTCATCTACTTGATTCATTTTGAGACTATTATTGGTTTTTGTTATTAGTTTACTTTAAAAGCAGTTCACCCACAATAATGACAGGATGTGATCAATATAATATCTGGTCTTTAAAATTTTATTTATTTATTCATTCATTCATTCATTCATTCATTTATTTATAGAGAGGGAAAGGGAAGGAGAAAGAGAGGGAAAGAAACATCAATGTAAGTGTTGCCTCTCTCATGCACCCCAGCCAGGGACCAGACCCACAACCCAGGCATATGACCTGACTGGGAATCAAACCAGTGACCTTTTGTTTTGTAGGACTATTCCCTAATCAACTGAGCCACACAAGTCAGGGCCTGATAATATCTATTAAATGTCATTATAAATATGTTCTCCTGTTAAATAATCCCTGATGTGCCCATTATATTACTGAACCAAAGGGGTTAGTTTGCCTATGTGCATCAAAGTTCAGTAAAATGCAAACAGGAGTTTGCAGCCAAGAAAAGTAAAGGTTTATTTAGGGAATAGGCACCAAGACCAGAGGCACGGACGAGGCAGTACTCTAAGATGCAGTTCTCCAATGGCCTCTAGGTGATAGATTTTATAGGGAGAAAATCATTAGTTGTGGTAGCTAAGGGAGTTGGGGTCATGGGCTCTACTGAGTCATCCAAGCTAGAGCAGGGAGTAGTTGATCATTGCTTCAGGTCTGGTGTCAGCCATGGTGGCGTCCAATCTGATTTCATGAGCACGTGGTTGGTAGGGATATTCTGATTTCATAGGCCTGAGGCTAAACATAACTGAGAGTGAGACTGTTATCTTTAGTTTGGCAGAAACTCTGTTATCATGGTTAACAGACACGAGGATTTATTCTTAAGACAGTTTGATGCTGACCAGAACCTAACGTCCCAAGGGCTTAATGATGAAAGGAATGGGCATGCAGTGTGTGCAAAGGTGGAAGGGTCTGGGAAAGGAGGCAGGTGAGTTACAGCACTGTGAGGTTGGACAGAGCTAGCATGAATGGAGAAAATTATATTAAAGCACTGAAGTTCCTGTGCAGTTACAATTATGGTCCCAACCATAAGGCCAGAGAGTATGGTCAGAAATCTACCAGTATACAACCACATTTAGTGCTGAGTTGGCAAGTAATAACTTCAGAACTAGCATTTAGGACCTTTAATGTAAAGAAGCTGTGAGAATTCAGAAAGTTCTAGCCTATGATGACAAATGGTTTTACATTAAATTCCTACTGCCATGTAAGCTGTTTGGAGGTTGTACTAACAGTGGCAGTTAAATAGATTCCTATTTCTAAAGAAGACTCACAGGATCCAAAATGACAATGGTTATAAATCTAAAGCTTATTGCAGAAAACACATACAATACAGCAATGCCACTAATGTAAGAATATGTATCACACATACATTCATAGCAAGGGGTCTGTTGATGTCAGGTCTGGTCCTTTGTCTTCTCTTCCTAAGGGGGACTTGGGGAACCACTGATATGGCACAGAACACCTCACAAGTGGGGACCCCAAAATGGAGTCTCAGCTGAGGTCATTTTGTATTTTCCTGGTGACTCAGGTATATCCCTGACGTGTATCCAGGCTTCACAGCAGAGCCCTCCCAAGTTCTTGCCAGGGCAGGTGTAATTCACCAGTCCTCTCCCCAAGCCCCCTGGAACCACTGTTACAAACAAGGCAACACTCTTAATCAGTACATCTCACACCTTGACCCTGGACAGATACCAGACAGGAGCTTGAGCAAAGCAGTTCTGGTTAGTTCCAGGCCTGCTGGCACAGGCACTTGCAGCTCAGAAGCTATGGCTCGACCCCTTGAGGCTCTCCATTACCATAAACCTAACTGCGGCCAGCCACGCCTTGGAGGCTTATACAAGAAATGTTAGTGACTAACCTCATTCTTATTTGTCTTGTAGAAACATACATTCCTAGTGAAGAAAGAAAAAACAAAAGTGGATTTTTGAACATGAAGTCTGTTTTCACATTGGGGTATGGCAATAACCAAACCCAGTCCCAAAACCTGACCATCTGGTGCATGGCTCTGATTCCAATGCCTGGAAATAAAGTGCGGAATATCTCATCCAATAAGACCACTTTTTCCTTCGGTGAGTTGTCTAATGCATAAGGTCAACACAGGGTGGCCAAGATGCCGTAAGTTCAGAACATGTCTGACTGGAAAACTTAGAATATTCATCATTTCCGTAATATTTTAATCTCAGAAAACTCTCACTACACTACTTAAAATTATTAAACTTCAAAGGAGCAAGCATTTTTTGACAAATGGGGCACTACTGAAAAGATTTTCTTCAAATAAAAAGTAGCTAATTCTTATTTTCAAGAATTTCAGGTGAATACAGCTTTTTTTTTCCAAATTCCATTAATAATAACTCCTAACTGGCATTTTGTTTTTCTACCATATAATGAAAAGTGACACAAATATATTGATGATCAAGAGAAATCATCATTTAGGATTTTTTTAAAATCTTAAAATTCCTTCTGAGTCACCAAAAACATTCAATTATACCTAGCATAATGGGTACACTATGTATGAGATATAAATATTTTAAGGATAGAGACTATATCTTAATGGCTTTGGTACCACTACTTTGAAGCACAGAATCTGGCACACAGAAGATTTTTATGACCTGAAAACTGGTATGTAGGATCATTCTACTTACTACAACATTTGATTAACCAGATCAAACAGTGGATATTTTACTACATAAAAGATGTGAACAAATGTTTTAACACTGTGACAACAGATTGCCTATAAAAAACTGAAGTTTGTAATGACATCTGTCCAATATGCATATGTAATAGTAAAGTAATGCCTATGAAACTTAAATAGATTTGAAAGTCATTAATAAAATACTCTGCAGGACTAAACATCTTTTTCCACCTTCCTATTTTCAGTAATGTTGTATTCTAGGACATACTCGTGAAAACCAGAATAATGGATGAGGAAAAGAGTTTCTCTTTGTTTCAAGGTCACGGCCTGTGTCTTGGCTCCTTCCTACCCTTGTCCAAACGCAGGGAGTTGGTCCCTGGGACTACTGCAGGGAGAAAGGTGTGTGGGTGGCTCAGGCAAGGCCATTCCCCACCCTTCAGACACAAGTGCTAATCAGATGCCGCGGCAGCAGCACCATCGCTGTAACTCTCTCTGTGTATATAAACAAGTTGTCCCATGAACTTAACAGTTAAATTACTCAGAAATGGTCATGGGTTTACAATGAAAGATCCATGTGCAACTTTGTCTAATTCCTTCAAAAATAAATACACCTTCTTTTCTGAAGTGTGGGTGCAGTTAGGGCTGCTGTCTTGGAACAGTAAAGAGAACTGGTTCTTGCACAGCTTTGCCAGTAGCTTCGGTGGAACCAAAGGACACAAGCTAAACACCAAACAACCTCAAATTCCAAAGGGAACCCTACTTCCATCATGGACAGAGCTATGTTTTAAAAACTATTATTTTATTATTTTAAAACTATGCTTGCTTTGTTGTTTAAAAACTTTATTTTTTTAGAGCAGTTTTAGGTTCACAGCAAAAGTAAAAGAAAGGTACAAAGATTTCCCTCATACCCACCCGCCACACACATGCATATTCTCCCACATTATCAACATCACACACTGGAATGGTGCATTTGTTACCACTGAGAAACCTACACTGACACATCGTAATTATCTGAAGTCCATAGGGTTCATCCTTGGTGTTGTACATATGAGGGACTTCAACAAATGTATAATGACACATGTCCATCATTACAGTATGACACAGAATTGTTTCACTGCCCTAAAAGTCCTCTGTGCTCTGCCTATCAATCCCTTTCCTCTAGCACCCAACCCTTGGCAAACACTGAGGTGTTTTTTTTTTTACAATCTCTATAGATTTGTCTTTTAAGAATGTTATATGGGAATCATACAGTATGTGTGTAGCCTTTTCAGACTGGCTTCTTTCATTTAATAATAGGCATTTAGAGTTCCTCCTTGTCTTTTTAAGTTTGATAGCTCAATTTTTATTTTTGGCACTGAATAATATTCTATTGTATCCATGTACCACATTCACCTACTAAAGGACACCTTGGTTGAGTCTAAGTTTTGGCAATTATGCATAGAGCTGCTGTAAACATTCATGTGCAGATTTCCACGTGGGCATGAGTGCTAGACTGCTTCAGTACATACCGAAGAGCACGGTTGCCTGACTGTATGGTAATAGTATGATTAGTTTAGTAAGAAACCACCAAACTGTCTGCCAAGGTTAGTTGTGTCATTGTGCAAATGAATGAGAGTCCCTGTTGCTCCACCTCCTCACCTGCACTTGGTGTGGTCAGTGCTCTGGGTTTTGGTCATTCTGATAGCTGTGTAGTGGTATCTCATTGTTGTTTTAATTTCCATTCCTCCGGTGACATGTGATGTAAAGCATCTTTTCATATGCTTATTTGACATCGCATGTCTGCTTTGATGTGGTGTCTGTTAAAATTTTTGGCCCATTTTTCAATCAGATAGTTTTTCTTATTGTTGAGTTTTAAGAGCTCTTTGTATGTTTTAGATAACAGTCCTTTATCAGATGTGTCTTTTGCAAATATTTTCCTCCCATTCTGTGGCTTGTCTTCTCATTCTCTTGAACTACGTTTAGTTTTAAGATTAGAAATTAATGAATATTTTTAGGGTAATAAGGAAGAACACTGATCTTGACACCCAAAGCACACAATTCCAATATTACAGGATAGTCCTGGATCTAGCATAATTTTAGGCTCTGAACAGAGGTTATTTTTAAATTTTTATAATGAGTTTTTACCCTTTATGATAAAATATGAAAGACAATAAATCTTGAAAAGCCCAGTTTCCCAAAATTATACCTTATATTCTAGTCACAATCCAACATATATCTTTGCAAATGATTTAGAAGATGCAGTTGAGACTCCGTGAAGTGATATGATACATCACTGTATCATATTACCCTATTTGTTATAGTTCTTAAACACTTCCAAACATGCTTTCTCTGCCTGTGTTAATACCACTGGATGATGTATGAACATTGGAGTAAACTTCTAATGATTTATCCAAGAGTCATTGCCTTATCAAGCTATTATTGCTGACAGATATTAAGATGAGGATACAGAAGAAAATTCTGTTGTCTCTAAGTGCTAAAGCAGAGAAGGTCTGGAAATATTACAGAGCAGAAAATGGGTTTAGGGAGTGGAGAGCAGTTTTTGCTGCCTTTTGTTCTCAAAGAAGAGTACTAATGTTGGAAGGCTGCGGTAACAGTGCCCTGAGGTGCTCCCTACCCAACCCAGCCCCAATCTCCCAGGAAGCTCAAAGGCTCGATGATTCTTCTCTAGAAAACTCAGAAATGAATGGGGTCAGGGTGGGGGTCATCAGTAGCTCATCAGGCAGTTATTTGAGTTACCAAGGCATGCAGATTCCGGTATTTCAACAGTTAATTTTTTAAAAATATCCTATTCTGCTATCCTAGCTGATCAGAACGTCTAAAATTGGAGCACTGCAGTCAGGTTTTTGGCATATGCCAAGTGTGGTTTTTTCGTTGTTGTTGAGATGTGGGGGATATTTTCTCCTGTTTCAATCTAAAAGTTGAGCGTGAATACCCTCTGGGGTGGGGAATATCCTGGCTGCATCAGCTTCGACAGAGATTTATTTGTTAAATGGATTTCCAACAGTAACTGTTAAGGTCAAGACCTTGGGAATAAAAAGAAAGGTAAGGGTAAACAAGCTGTGTGAGTGTGTGTGTGAGTGTGCATGTGTCTTTTGGGTGTGGAGAAAGAATTAAAGGGGGCTACATCAATAATGGGATAAAAGAATCATTGAATATTAGAGTGGGGTATGCCAGACAAATACTTCTTGTGATGTCTCCCATACCCATGACTGATCTTGGGGATCCTGAGAGTATCAATAAAGGACTTTAATGTACATACAGATCACCCAAGGACCTTGATAAAATGCAGATTCTGATTCAGTAAGTCAAGAGGGGCGGGGGGATGACCTGAGAATCTGAGTTTCTATTAAGTTCCTAAGAAAAGCCATGAGCCACATTTTGAGTAGCAGGGACCTAGAGGGTCCTGGAGTTTATTTCTATGTGGACCAGCTAAGGGCTGAGTCAAGCTCTGAGGAAGCCCTAAAATTGGCCCTACTGCCCTATGGGACAGGCACGTGGTCACTGCTGCCCACTGCTTGTCCTGAGGGCCTGCCAGGCCTGCCAGGCCTGCTGCAGAGCAAACACACTCGGGAACAAGTAGAGCTGCTTGAGGCTGGCCTCTCAGCCCCTGACAAGTAGTCGATGTAATAGTCTGAAACTGTTCATATATTTTTGCTAAACTCTTCATTTGAGTTTTAGAAAATAATTTTCTCCTATTAGGTTTTTTCAGCTGCTCCTTTTGACACCCTCTGGGTTTTGTTTTAACCAAAGCAGAGTTTCTACTTTGCAGGACAACCTGAAACCAGAAGGATAAGTTTTGGCCTCAAGGTTCATTTTAAAAGCTCTGTATCATTTTTGTCAAAGGGCAAAGAGTTCCTGGGAGGCTGGGTACAGGCAGGGATGGAAGCACCTCAGAGTGCTGTTATGTTGCAGCCTTTAGACATTATTACTCTTCTCTGGAACAAAAGGCAGCAAAAACTGTGCACCTCTCACTAAATCTCTTTTCTGCTCTGTAATATTCCCAGAATTTCTCTGCTTTAGCACTCAGAAGCAACACACTTTTCTTATACAGACAATACATAAACAAATGGGCATGACTGTGTTCCAGTAAAACTTGATTTACAAACATAGGGAATGGGTTGCATTTGACCTGTGAGCCATAGTTTGCCAACCTCTGCTGTAAACAATCTACAGAGAAAAACACCTGTGCATTGTTTTCCCAGAGCCATGCTCATACTGATTAAGGTTCTTACTTTGGAAGATCATGCTTATGTTGCACCAGTAGTCAGCTCTGTACTTAAGCTGGTCTTTCTTCCAATGTTAAGAAGGAATTTGTAGGCTCTCAATCATCATCCACTTGCGTAAAATACAAAAATACAAAGTGAATAAAACAATTACTTCTCCTGGGCATAACCAATGAGTAATAAGGCCTTTGTTAGGGCAAACTCTGAACACATCGGAAAGATCCTCAGGCTTCTTTAAGTTTGAGGAAGTGTACCCAGGGGGTTTGGGGTGGGAAAGTGTTGGAAATGGCAGGCACAGCAGCAAGAAGTCACAGAGAGCACACTGTGTTTGGGAAACTGGGTTGAACGACCACCTGTTGGACGAACGATGTGATTTGAGAGAGATGTAAAGTATAACAGGCAGCATCAGGAAATGCAGGTGGGGAACATGACAGGGGCCAAATCAAGAGCAAATGTGCGTATCATGCTAACAGGTCCATCTTGTTTGGATGGTGTGGGAGGAAGAAGATGGTTATTTTGCCAGCTTACTCATATGCTCTCCATAGAACTGCCCTCCCCCACCTCCTCAGAGATTAATAACAAGGAATCATTGTATGACAGGCGTCAGAGACAGCTGTCTGTGCCATCTGCAGCCAACAGCAATGACAACATTTCCAACAATGAGAATAAAACATAGATGAATCTAGATCACAAGAAGAAATTCTCCAGTATGCTCTGTGATATCAGTGACATAACTTAAATACTATACGGTTTTCCCTTAAAGTAAATTACAGAATAGAACCAATAGTGTAATTTGTAATTAACTGTGCACATAGTAATTGGTATCAGATACGTGATGCTATTCCCAATGCCATTTTATCTGAAAAATCACAAATACCCTAGCCTCAGTATCTGTTACCCATACTTAACCCACATGTTCCTAAAGTCATCAGATACTTTTGGTATTTGTAGATTGTTTCATATTGCTAATAGGAATATTTTACAGTAAAATAGTGGAAATTTTAAGAAATCCATGTAGATATATAATAAGTCAAATATTTCAGCCTCTCTTTCATTCCTAGCTCCCTTCTCACACACGGACAGAGAAATGTAGCCAAGTGAAAGTTTTATGAAACAAATAGACACTTTAGAAAGAGCATAATAATACCAACAGTTTCAAGTTCACAGGTGTTACATCCAATCTCATAGTTGTATCACTGTTTCTACTCTTGCTGATAAAACAATTTTTATGGGGTTACAGATTTGTAAACTGTGTGGTCACTTTTCAAATACTTCAAAATATTAGCTGCTGTATTTGTGTTATCAGGTCTTAGTTAAACGTCACTTTCCCCAGGAAGCTTTCCCTGACCTCCCTATCTTGGCCGGTGCCCCTCCTTTCATTGCCGTGGCCCCTGCGCTTCACCATCACAGCACTCAGCACAGTGCCTGGCTGCCCACCCATCATCTAGGCTGCAGGCTCCTTAAACGTGGCCCATGTCGTTGCCTCGTTGCCATCCTCCACTACATCCCACTGCCTAGCCTATTAAACAGCCCTCAATAATGCTTTGTTAAATGGAAAAAAAAACACACACACACACGAAGTTTTTTGGGAGAGAGACTAAGTCAATACTTTAACTTTCTATTACTATACTTTTATTCATTGTAAATGTCTGCTTCATCCTTTCAGGCTCAGTGAACCCTCCAACAGATGCTGCACGCAGTGTTACAGAATCCACCCTCAGCACCCAGCCTTCTCCAGCCATGAGCACATCTCCAGCAAGTAAGGAGCTTTTCATACTGTTTTAATTTCCACAAACTATCAATCCTTTAATGAACCATACTGATAAAAAAATTTCAAAAAAATTGTATCATCCATAACCATTTCTAACTTCTAATGTTTTAGATAAACATATTAAGTACTATTCTCATGGTTTCCAAGAGTTAGCACAACTTCCAGAGCCCTTCACTTGAAGCCCTGGCAAAATCAGGGTCAGTAAGTACTCAGTGAGAAATTAAATTTTGTACTTATTATTAAATAGGTTAATATATTGACAGTCCTCCTCCACAGCTGTTTTCTCAGTGGGGTGTTTCAGGAATTGGTTGTAGTAATTGGAGAGCCTGTAGACTAGATGTAGGTAAATAGTTTTAAATTTAATTTTTTGCTGCTTCACATTAATTTTGAACAAGTTGACTAGTGAGGACTGTGAACTCAGCCTCCCAATGGTGGTATTAATAGTGAGGTCAGGCTGGGGCAGTGTTGCTACGGCAAAGGGATGACACTGACTTTCAGAAGTTGACACTGATGCAAACAAATCGTTAATTTTCAAGTCCATGGCCTTTGTGTTAACAAAGAACCATGGTAACTTTGTCTAATACACACACACACACACACACACACACACACACACACACACACGGTCTCTGTGGAGCAGAAGTAAGGTTTTCATCCTTATTTAATTAAAACTATTCATTTTAACTCAAAATGAGAACAGGGAGTGGAATTAAACAGAAGCAGTCGGTGGAGGTGACCAGCTACTGGAGCCTGTCCCCTTTGGCACATGCCCTGCCGCCACTGTCACAGCTGATAGAGTTCAGAAATAAAGAGTGCGGCAGAGGGAGAAATGCCTGCAAATCTCCTGTTAGAAATTTTATATTCATCTGATATTTCCTAGTTCTTAAGATTTTGTCATTTTCTTTTCAAGTTTCTTTTTCTTTCACTTCTAATTTCTCACTCAGCAATAAACCATAGTAGATTATAATATTCTTCATTTAACAAATATTAGCATATTCAAAAATAAAATCTTAAATGTCTGTAGTACTCTATGAATTATTTATCTATTGCTTCATAGCAAATTACCTCAAAATTTAGCAACTTATAAAATATATATTGTCTCAAACAGTTTCTAGAGCCCTGGCTGGCATACCTCAGTGGATCAAACGTGGGCAGCAAACCAAAGTTCGACTCCCAGTCAGGACATGTGCCTGGGTTGTGGGCCAGGTCCTCAGCAGGGGGTGCATGAGAGGCAACCACACGTTGATATTTCTCTCCCTCTTCCTGCCTCCCTTCCCCTCTCTAAAAGTAAATAATGTCTTCTTAAAAAATGGTTTCTATGGGTCAGAAATCAAGGGTAGCGAAGCTGGATGGTATGGCTCGGGTTCTCCAATGAGGTCATACTCAAGCTGTTGGCTGGGGCTTCAGTTATGTGAAGGCTTCACAGGGTCGGAGGGTTCCGGGGTTCCGTTTTTAAGCTGGAGCATGTTGGCAGGAGACCTCAGCTCCTCACCGCATGGCCTTTCCATGGGGCAGTCACAACATGGCAGCTAGCTTCCCCTAGACCAAGTAATTCAAGAAACAGGGTGAGCAGGACAAAAGCCACACTGCCTTTTTACGATCTAGTCTCCAAAATTGCACACCATTACTTTTGCTTTATTCTGTTTGTTGTTAGAAGCAAGTCACTAAGTCCAGCTCATACTCAAGAAGAGAATTAGGCTCCACTTCTTGAAGGGGAGCATATCAAGAAGTTTGTGAACAAATTAACACCATCACATTCAGTCACTTAGAACATATTGGCACATAAAATGTAATGTGGTTTGATCTTCTTTATTATGACAGACAGAACAATCATTATCATTCCCATTTTCCAGATGGAAACACTGAGATGCTGACAGCATAAATGGTTACGTGATAGTAAGTGGCCAAGTTGGTATTCATACCAAAGTCTTCTGATGTTAAATCTGGTTCTCACCACATGAGATACTGTGTTTTCTCTGTCTGATCTAAACACTGCATAAAAACAGGAACATATTTGTTTTGCCTCCGAGAACATGCTTAGCACAGAATAGGCCAGTAAAAAAATGTTAATTGAATAAATGGATGAATAAAAGAATTAATGAGAATAACATTCCTTCACTATATGGATATCATTTAATATACTCTATGTGTTAAAAAATGATAATTTGTTCCTGCCTTCAGAAGGGTTGCAGAGTACATGGAGAGAGAGGACATGCACACATGGAAATGATGAGTCAAAATCATAAGGTGAAAGGTGTTGCCTCTTACAGTATTACAATACACAGGGAGCCTTGCTGATGTGGCTCAGTTGATCGCCCTGTACACCAAAAGGTTGGGGGTTTGATTCCGGTCAGGGCACACACCTAGGTTATGGGTTTGATCTCTGGCTAGGGCACATATATATGGCAACTGATCGATATTTCTCTCGCACATCAGTCTATCTATCTATCTATCTCACTTGCTTTTTCTCCCTTCCTCTCAAAAGAATTTCCTAAATGCACAAGGAAAGGTACAGGCCAATAAGTCTTAGGCTTTGAGCAAAGAAAGGTCTCTGTGAGTTTATGAACTCAGGTGTTGGCCAGGAAAGATGAAATAAGCTGATTCTTGAAGTCTGTGTTATATTTATTTGACTCAGCTGAGAGCTTTATAAACATTCTAAACAAAGAGGACAAACTGAGCAGTTGTTCATTGGCAAAGATGTTGATGAGAATTTGAGAAAACATTAGTGGCTAAGCTTGGGTCAGAGGAGCAGCATTGTGTGGCAAAGAAGCACAGATGGTTATTGGAAAGTGCATAAAAAAGAGAGTCTTAAGAAATGTTTTTCCTTAAAAAATGGGTCAGGGACCCCATTAAAAATTTTTTTAAAAGGAAACGATGTAACCCATTTATTACGTATTTACTGGACCCTTAGTATGTACCAGATACTCTTCTAGGTGCTGAAAATACAACAGTGAATAAAGGAGGAAAAATCATGCCATATGACCCCTTCTTCCAGGTGTAAGCAGAAATGAATTTCTTCTCGCTGAGTTTTCTATGGGGTTAGTTGCCATACATCACATGTTGTCATCAGACCAAGCACCATTCTTATGTCTGTGAAGAAATTCAAGGAAAGGAAAAGGACAATGTTACCCTTCTGGACTCCACAATTTATTAGAGCTCTCATATTAAGGAAGGAAAGAGAGCACAAATAAATATATTTGTTAGAAAACAGAAAATCACTACCTGATCTACTGTCACACTGTGTGATACAGTTGGGAAATTTCTGAAGAATCAAAAGACTTCCTCAAAATAACGGACCCACCCACAGGTCAGACTTCATGACTGTTTTAGATCAGTGGTTCTCACCCGGGTTACTTTGCCCCCCAACGTCCTGGGGACATTTGCTACTGTATGGGGACATTTAAAAAAATTCTCACCCAAGGTATGTTTATCAATTTTAGAGGGAGAGGAAGGGAGAAAAAGAGAGAGAGAGAGAAATATTGATATGAGAAAGAAACATCGATTGGTTGCCTCCCTTATGTGCCCCTACCCAGGGATCGAACCTGCAACCTAGGCATGTGCTCTGACTAGAAATCAAACTCACAACCTTCTGGTGTACGGGATGACACTCCAATCAACCGAGCAACCCAGACAAGGCTTTGGGCACTTTGATTGCCACAATGGGAAGCTGGGAGGTGCTACTGACTTTTCATATGTAGAGACCAAGGATGCTGTTAAATGCCATACGACACAGGACAGGACAGCCACCACAACAAAGAACCATCTGGTCCAAAGGTCACTAGTGCTGAGGTTGAGAAACCCTGTTTTAAATCAGGCTCTGATTTAAGAGGAGCTATTTTTTATTTTATAAAATTTCAACCTCTGTCAAGATAATAATGATAGATTATGTTTGGAACAATTCTCAGTCTGATTTTTATGTCAAAAAACATGTTAAATCAGTGGTTGAGAATAACTAAATAAAAATTATATTCTTAGAATAATCAGTGAATTACAACCAAAAAGTCCAAATTTTGTCTTGGCAAGCTGGAGGGTGATGATCACTGGCTACCTCAGAAGCTGGTAGGATTCACCCTTGTGTGTTCTTTTTAAAAAGGAAATGAGCAAGATGGAACATGTCTTGGGAGCCCATTTCAAAAGGTGAAGGTTTTATTTCAAGTTCTAAGATGTAATGAACTGCATAATTCAGTTGTAACCATTAAGCTACTTATTTTCCTGCAAACATCCAATTCATTTTTCCCCTCAATAAAAGGGTAGGTTTTAAACAAATGTTGACAAAAATGGAAACATTCTTTAACTAGAGGAGATCCTTGTAACTCATAACAAACTTCACGAGTTACCCAGGGAAACCCAGTTCAATTCAACCTGAACTAATTGGTGTTTGCTGAGTCCCAGCTGCATTTTCTGTCTTCAGAAAAGACAGGAGGCTGACAAGCTAAATGGCAAGATGAAACAAGCCCACATGGAACAATCAGAGACGCCTGACCAGTCTAGTGTGGGACAATACTGGCATAACTCAGGGGTTTCTCCTGCCCCAAGGAGCTCCATGCACCGTCTACAAGGTTTTATTCAACAACAACATGCCAGGAATTTTTGAGGTGCTGGGACATGGTGATAAACCAGAAAGGCAGGGCCCCACATACACAGAGCTTACGTTCTGGCAGGGCCTGCTTGCCTAGCCTCCCATTTCACTGCCCACCAGCCCACAGACCCTCCTATCATTATGGCTGTGCACAACCGTTGGACTTGATGATATTGTTTTTAATATTAAGCCCTCTCTCAAAACTTAGCTGGTCCCCACAGTCTGGATATTTCCTGGATGCCATGAGTAACCATTGGCAGGCTCCCCAGGAGAATGCACCTGATCCTGGGCAAGTGGGAGGTCAGACACTGAAAGAAGCAGTTGCCCAGGGGATGCAATAAACTACTGATTTATGAGCAAGCATGTCAGAAAAGAGTGGGGGGTTGAACTGAAAACCATGCCATTGGAT